TAAAAACTAAGACTAAGGTGTACAATGAACTCAAAAGCAGAAAACCAAAACAATTCTTAAGTAGGCCTATATAAAAACTCAGCTTGTTTCATTAGTTCCTGCAGGTTGGAATGATGCCCGAATTTATATTTCATTTGCACCGGACCACAATTTTGCATATCTACGCGTATTTCCGCTCTCAGCACCGACTCGAAATCTATAAAATACCCACTGTGGCTAAACCATGAGAATACACATTTGCATTGATTAACTAAATCCAATCTGTAAATTGTTCCATAAACATAAATTCTTCTGTGCTGATGGATATATGCTGTGTTTTCAATATCACCAGATCTAAATCGGAGAGGATGATCCATACCTGGGTCCCCACAGGATATCACATTCTTCGACAGATTCAGCTCCATTCCAAATGCCTGAAAAACAGAAGGCGATGAGTATATAGAGCGAAAAGAAACACATTGATCTGTTTGCGCAATTATTTCTCTGAGTTCAAGATGCAGGATTTAGATACAGCTTTTAATGATCTCGTTTTACACACTAATTTCAGTACCAAAATTCCTCCTAAAATATATTAAATAGGACTGGACAGAAAAGGGAGCAAACAAACTACAGAGTAAAAAAAGAAGAAAAAGAAAACATTTACTGAGCCGCAGCTCAGCATCAAACAGAGTGCCACTGAATGTCTCTCCATAATTTATCCAGTCAGCCCCCATGTCTTGGACCTCCATTAACATCAGTTTACTTTTTGCCCTAACACTAAACACACACACTCTCTCTTTGGCAGACAGAGTCCTTGTTATCTGCAGGAATCTGCTCGCTGCTTTTATGTTTGCTGAACCTCTGCCCGTCCAAACGGACAGGCATCCCTGACCAGCGCGTTTCTTTTTTTTTTTTTTTTTTTTAGTTTTGCTTGTTTTTTTTTTTTTAAAGTTCAGATATGAAATTATTTTTAAACATGTGTTTTATTCCCACTTAACGCCAATAAACATGGTTTCATAAGGTTTTGGG